CCTGTCTAAGGCCTCTGCACTGAATGTGTCCCTGTACACCTGAGTACCACCCTCTCTAAAGCCTCTGCAGTGACCGTTGCCCCTACCAGATATCTGCTTAGCTAATTTGTTCCTTTCACCTCAGTAACACCCACCTTAACAAACCTATTTAGAATTACAGCCAGTACAACATAGAATCCTCTTTGCTGTATTTTTTTTCTACAGCACTTACTATAGCAGTTTTCCACTATACTACACCATGTTTATCATTTCATTAAATTAAGGTGTTTTGCCACCTTCATCTCCACACCCCCACCCCTGTCCCGTGTAACCTAAGCACTTGGAATAACTGTGCCTGCAATGTAAATAGACTGAGCAGTGGAGACACCCACAGTCCAGCATACACACTGGCCAAAGCAAACATAGGAAAGGGAACTTGGGAAAGACCAAACTTGTGGTCAGCAAGTAGAGAGAACAGAAATGGGCAGGGCAACAATAACCAGGCTGATGAATAAAAACACACTGTCTGAGGAACAGCTGTGGCAGCTTCTCTACTCTCTTTCCCAATCTCAGTGGAGAATGTTTTTATATTCTACTAAGAAATCACCAGCCGGCACTATTTCTTTCTTTCTTTCTTTCTTTCTTTTTTTTTTTTTGAGACAGTGCCTCACCATGTTGCTCTGGGTAGAGTGCCGTGGCATCACAGCTCACAGCAACCTCCAACTCTTGGGCTTAAGCAATTCTCTTGCCTGTCTTCCAAGTAGCTGGGACTACAGGCGCCCGTCATCACTCCCAGAGCTATTTTTTGTTGCAATTGTCATTGTTGTTTAGCTAGCCTGGATGGGTTCAAGCCCGGCAACCTTGGTATTGTGGCTGGTGCCATAAGCACTGTGCTACAGGTGCCCGGCAACCAACACTATCTCAACTTTCCAGGTAACTTAGTCATGTGAAAACCATACAGGTCACAGATTATAACTATTGTAAACATAAGGAAGAATTCTTTAATTGTAAAGACATTCTGTATACTATTAAGTGTATTTAAATATTTTAGACATACTATGAGTATAATTTTCACAAAAAGTAGGTGCGAAATTTTATATCATCATGTGTCCAATAAAACAAGTATCTGGTCACTTATTAATGGTGACTTCAAAACTTACTAAGAATAAAAGTTGTGACAAAAATAATCTGCTTTCAATATTGGGATAGCCATAGTTTAGTCTTCTGCAATATAAAGAAAAGTACAAACAGTAACTTCTAAATTTACCTTCTTTGAATTTCCATTTCTTCTTGGGATGGGCCATTTTGAACTTGGACCGGTAGTTGTGAATTTTGTCTAGGCAATGTTGGCCCTACAGAGGGAGGAAAATGTTACAGGTGAATAGTTTCTTCATATTTAGCTGGATAGAGGAGATTAAGTCATGAGAATAACACAAAATCATCACATATTTACAAATGTATCTTCTTTTTGTCTAGCAAAATAAAATATAAGCTTTAGGGAACACATAGCAAATGAAAAGACTGCAACATAATGCTGTCATCATCTCCAGAAGGCTTACTTGAAACAAATGGACAACATCAACAATAAAGGAAAAAGAAACATTTATATATGAAGAGCTTGAGTAAAACAAGTGTTCAATGAGCATCTGCATAGGCACCTAAGCTTGACATTTTCTAAGACAATGAGACATTCTCTTAGGGCAATTATTCATGAAGTGGAGAAGGAGAACTTAAATGAAAAATCAGAATTCAAAAACTCACCTAAATAGAACACTGGAAATGAAAAACAGGAGAGAGAGAGCATGAGAACCTTATTACTAGACTGAAGTACACTAATGCATTTATCAAATTTGCTCCATTTAAGCTGCCATTTCTGATACTGGTAAAAAAAAAAATAATAATAATTGCTAACTTTCATAAAACAATTATCCTACTTAATCTGAATTTTTAATGTAACAGAGGTAATCTTAACAACTTTTCATTTGTGGGTAAGACGGGGGGAACTGAATTCACATCAACATGGTTCTGTCACGAGAAACTAATGACCATCCATTCCCACATATGTACCATGCAGACCCATTTTTTGCATCTTAGATAGAATGCCACTAAACTATAGGATAACTTTATTGTCACTAGATATAAAAACTAAATGTGTCATAAAATGAGAAAAATACTGGACCTAATATACAATGCCTAGGGTTAAAACAGAACAATCTTGAAATCTTATACAGTAAATAAGAGAGTAAAGAAATAAATAATATTTATTTTCCACTCTTGGAGAGGAATATATGAGTAATGATATACTATGCCCATTTGTGAATTCTAGTGTGCCAGCAAATGCTCCTAACAGATATTTCTGAAAGATTTTTGTAGAGCACTAATATTGAAAAGCAAATGCCTATGGGTACTAAAGCAAATTCTTATAATCTGAGTATAATAGTACTAACACTATCACTAGAATAGAATTCACAACTAGACGTAAAGGTTGATCAGGATGTTAATATAGTACTGGTATATGCCAAATGTAAAAAAACAAGTCATTTGATCTAAACTTACCTACTAACTTTTCCCCTCACCTCTTTAATCATTTATTTTGTCCTAGACAAATTAAGGTGACAATAGCAGTGATATATTTCATCAGATTTCCTAAGAGCCTGCTATTTTGAGAATCAAATAAAGGAAATATAAAAATATATTGAAATCCCATATAATCAGTAACAACAACAAAACCCAAAAAGCTTTTGAAATTAAATACACACATAAATGTTTGCATAAATAAAAATACATGATTGCTACCTAATAACATACTAGAATTCTTTCCTTAGGAAAGTAACATAATGATGTAAAAATAAAACACTAATGTTTAATACTTTAAAGGGAAAATATCTCTTTTGGCAAAAACATGGGAACATGCAAGGTAGGAGGGTAAATTTGAGAATCTATAAAATATTTGGGGTCTGTACTTTGTATTTATCCAAAATTATTAAGTGCTAGGTATTTAGGATGGACAACTCACAAGACCAACAACGGTTCAAATATTTTTTAAAGTAATGTTCATTTGAGTATTTGAGTGGAAACTTCAGGCTGCTTAAATAACATAAGAGTTCGCTGTCAGTAGTACAGAGTTGTTGGCATCAAACTCAAAGACGCAAACTCACATCTAGGATAGCATTGTATCTCAACGGTAACGTTAATGGATTAAATTCTCCAGTTAAAAATCTAAGTTTTAACTGAAATATATCAATTCAAAAGATGGCAACAAGTAAGTTCAACCCTATTGCTTTTTATTAAACAGGTTTTTAAAAAATTAACCAAAGTTTGACATAACTTATAAAAACTGAATGAGAAAATAATCTTTTTAGGAATTTACAGAACCTGTTTTGGAATTTTTAAAAAGGTTTTAGATGTTTACTGAGCAAACCTGTTTAGAAAGGAGGTTTTATTTTAAAATATAGATAATATCTTATGGCTAATAACATTACGAATAAAAATAATTTACTACATACATTTTTTTTAAGTAAGAATTTTATTTTATTTATTTATTTATATATATTTTTTGAGACAGGAGCCTCAAGCTATCCCTCTGGGTAGAGTGCTGTGAACAGCAACCTCCAACTCCTGGGCTCAAGCAAGTCTCCTGCCTCAGCCTCTCAAGTAGCTGGGACCACAGGCGCCCGCCACAACGCCTGGCTATTTTTTGGTTGCAGCCATCATTGTTGTTTGGCGGCTCGGGCTGGATTTGAACCTGCCACCTTAGGTGTATGTGGCTGGCGCCTTAGCCGCTTGAGCCACAGGTGCCGAGCCTACTACATACATTTTATTTCTGCAGCTGAGATAGAAAAACTCAAGGAAGATTCTTTTAAAATGGCGAGAATTTTGTTCTGGACAACTCTTAGAATTCTTTTTTTTTTTTTTTGAGACAGAGCCTCAAGCTGTCCCCCTGGGTAGAGTGCAGTGGCATCACAGCTCACAGCAACCTCCAACTCCTGGGCTCAAGCGAGTCTCCTGCCTCCGCCTCCCAAGCAGCTAGGACCACAGGCGCCCGCCACAACGCCTGGCTATTTTTTGGTTGCAGCCATCATTGTTGTTTGGCGGGTCCGGGCTGGGGATTCGAACCCGCCACCTTAGGTGTACGTGGCTGGTGCCTTAGCCGGTTGAGCTATAGGCGCCGAGCCAGAATTCTTTTCTAATGGTTTTGGGTGGTAATGGGCTCCTCGTCTTTCCAGATGTTCTTTAATGGGGGTTGGGCACAGCATCCCTTCCCTTGGCATTCTTTCACATCTATATTTAATCTGGTTGTTTTGTTGCTCTTCTTCATCAATATTGTCAAGCTGCAATACCTAGCACATTGAAAATTATGTGCATTTAAAAATTAATATAAAAACACTATATAAACATTGAATAAAAATTCTAGGGAAATTATGAACTTCAGGTATACAATTACATTTTACCTTCTTGTCAAAAATTCTAATGAGCCACAAAATTGGTAAATAATACCAAAGGACTTCCACTCGACATGAAGCAGCAGTAGCTAAGATTAGGCAAGGCTGTCAGCCACCACTGTGCGCTCAGGAATGCAACTGCTACTCCACAGAGGTCAAGTCCTAAATGAGTATCTATGCTCTCATAAAATACAAAATAGGTACTTTCATAACCATTTCAGTGGGCAAATAATAATATTTTATGAGCATTGTGTGGCAGTTAAGAAACCAACGAACCCATCTTTGCCTCTACTATGTTATCATAAATACAGTTGCTGTTTTTAGAGAGGTATATAGCAAAGTTTGTGAATTACTGTTTCTAATAAAGAAAATGTGGCAACATCAATGATATAGTATTTTCGGTTAAAGCTTGGGTTGAAGCACCTCTTACTTACTGTCACCTTTTAATTTTCACAAATCTAGTTTCACACTTAACTACAGACTAAAGACAAATAGGTATTATTATACACAATACAACCAAGTTTAAACTTAGCAAAGTGGTAATTATATTGTTTGTACGCAATTAAAGGTAATCATGGGAAAAATTTGCTTTTTAACACATTATTTTACAACTTTAAAAAGTCACCTTCATTTAGGTCAAATCAGTCTTTTCTCTGCAACTGGGTAAACTATTATCCTACAACTGGACTTCAATATATTAAGAAGAAGGGTAAGAGAACATCAAGTGGGTTTTATTAAATGAGTTAAAGAGAGTCCTAATAACTAAGTATCAATAGCGATTCATGATTAGTTCAAAAGACAGCCTGGAAGAACCCCCAGTAGGAGGTGGGAAAATCAGAAATGAAAGTTAACTGATTAGACACTTAATGTTTGAGTGTGGGGTCTGGGAGGGAGAGGAAAGACTTACAGACCCACATCAGTCACCTGGAGGTGACTAAAAAAGACATTAGAATCTTCTTCTTCTTTTTTTTTTAATGAAATTTGTAACAGATGCTTCTTTCCTAAGCCAGTAAGTACATAAATTCAAAAATGATTCTCTTCATAGGTAAACAGTATCAGTAACCCTGAGGAATCACATTAAAACTGATGAGTCACATGGATGAAGTTCTTACACACAGCTGAACTATTTGTGTAAATTTTTATCATGTTATAACTTTATCTTTCTCATAAAATAATTAAGGTATATCTGAGTTAAAGGTCAAAAAGATCAGATAAGGTTAAAAAAAGGTTAAATGAGTCAAAAAAAGTCAGTCTAAAAGGTACATATAAGTTTTTTAAAAAAACTTAAATAAAGAAAAATCAATTTTTGGAACTTGGGTTTTTAAACCAAAAATTTTAGACTTAAATAGGGATGAAAAGATTTCAGATGAGGATGTGTACCTATCTACAGATATATCTATTTGCAGATATATCTCTTTGTGTAACCAGGATATATATGTGTGTATATATATCTCTCATGATCTCTAACCCGGGGTGGCTAAGTGACACAGCCGGTTTGTCCATGCAAACAATACACACATGTGCACACATGTGTGTACAGGAAAGTGAGGGTAAAAGAAAACGTAGCCTAAATTCACTCCTACGCCACAGAGACTTAACCTACTGAGTAAAGGAGGCTGTCAGTCAGAAATCAACCCATTAAAGAACGTAAAGCTTATGTCTGCCTCACAACAGGCACAGCTAAAATGAATTCAAGTTAAGCAAAAGCTCCCTTCAAATAAGGCCCATTTACATTCCTCAAATCATATGAAGATGGATATAATTTTTTCCTTAAATTCTAAATTAAAAGTTTGCTTCCAAACAAAATAATTAGAAACAAAAAGGAACAAACAAAAACCCCTCTTATCTGTGTTCGAAGAGGTGGACAAAAATAGCTTTAAGATCCTAACTATAAATAAATCTTCACTAAC